TGTACAGGATCTTAGCAAATTGTCTAAGGAAGGTTCACGCAAATTTTCTAAGGAAGGTTCACGGCTACGAAATTACGGGCCAGAAACCTAATAACCCTCATCCTGAAGCTCTCATTGAGCTTTTGGCGACAGTATCGGTTTCAGAACTAAATGGCCATTTCGACCGAATCTTTAAGTATGCTGGGTGCCTTTTCCCCTAAAAAGTTTGGGTCATACACTTCTCTCGTGAAGATTGTGTTACTAAGCCATACTGGCCATCCAAAAAGCTTCAGGATAGGGGTTTGAATGTCGTACATTTCTGGCATGACAAGGATTTTAGAAATGTCCCAGGTTTCGGGATGTCACTAGCAAATTCTGCGAAATAATAGATGAACAGATCTTAATTTATTTATGTATTCTAAAAAGTTTTTCCTGAAAAGAATATCAGAAAAAAACTATGATGTTTAAGATCATGATTCTGATTTAGCGCCTGTGTAGTAAATGCGTTCTTCATTTTTTTCTGCCTCACTTCTGTGATAGGAGGATATAACTTTTTTTCAATAAAATTTAAAAAAAATTAGATATGTATATCTTATTCTTTCTGTCACTTTGCAAGAACGCTACTTTGACTTCTTTGAATCTTAATCAACTTAGATCGGAAGTAGAAAAGGCATTAGCAGGTGCACTTTGTGTGAACGCCACGCTGACTTCTTTAGATATTAGTGGGAATAAACTTGGACCGGATGGAGGAATGCGTTCATTTTTTGAGAAATTAGTTGAATCACTGGAGAAAATGCGTTTATAAGAATATCACGTTTACTTCCTTAGATATTAGTTGGAATAAACATGCAGAAGAGCACTGGCTGATGCGTTTTGTAAAGACACCAAATTCCTTTAGATATTAATAATAACATGCTTGGGTCAAATGAAGGGAAAGCACTAGCTGATGTGCTCTGTAAGAACACCGCACTGACTTTGGACCGGATGTAGTAAAACCATTAGTTGATGCACTTTGCATCACGTTGATTTCTTCAGATACTGGTAAAAATAAACTCGGATCAGATGGAAAAAAGCATTAGCTGATGTGCTTTTTAAGAATATCGTGCTTACTTCTTTAGATATTAGTTGGAATAAACTTGGATCACATTGAGGAAAAGCATTAACTGATGCGCTTTATAAGAACATCGCGCCTACTTCTTTAAATATTAGAATAAACTTGAACCGGATGGATGAAAAGCATTAGCTAATGCGCTTTGTAAGAACATCATGCTTATTCTTTTGGATATTATGATAATGTACTCAGATCAAATGAGTGCCGTCAAGGGAAAATCAAAACTCTGGCTTTCGATTATATTTTGTGTTCAATTTATTTTCCGAGTGCCATCTAAATCTATCATCAGATTTCAATTATATTTTGTGATAAGTCATTACAAATATAATCGAAAGTCCGGTGATAGATTTACCCTAGACGCACTCAGAAAATAAACTGAACACAAAATATAATTGAAAGCCAGAATTTTGATTTTCCCTTGACGGCACTCAAATAAAAAAAAAGAATTAGCTAATGTGCTTTATAAAAATATCACTAACTTTTTTGATCAGATATAGGAAAATTATTAATTGATGCACTTTGCGTTAAAACTACATTGTCTTTTTAGATATTAGTATGAATAAACTTGTATCATATGAAAGAAAGCATTAACTGACTTTTTTTTTTTAAGAGCATCGTATTTCTCCGGTATACGCCGACAGCTACTTCGGCTGTTGCACTTTATCATATTTTCGCGGAATAACGCTCATGAGCATTATTCCGAAATTTTCGCCCCTAAAATTAACATTTATAGCTTCCGAAATAACGTGCATCTTATAGTAAAGGATGCTTATTTACAAAAAATGCTCCGGACTAGGTTTACTTAGTATCAACCTAGCTCCGGAACATTTTTTGTTTGCTTACTTTTTATGCAAGAGCTTAAAATTTTTATATTTATCTCGAAATATTGCCCACGCGCGTACTTAAAATAGTGCGCAGATGTGCGATATTCCGCGAAAATACGGTATAAGAATATCGCGTTTGCTTCATTAGAAATTAACTGCAATAAACCTGGATTAGATGAAGGAAGAGTATTTGCTGATATGCTTTGTAAAAACACTATGCCAACTT